TGGGTCGGAAGCTCACCGTTCTTGTTCCCTGCGGACAGCTCTGCCTGGCTGCTACGCGGGGCCGGGGTCGAGACCGGGGCCTCGGTGGTCGCGGGCGACGCCAGGCCCAGCACCGAGGCGCCGGACGCCCCCAGACTCAACCCGACGGCAGGCGCGAAGGTGGCCAAGGCGAGCAGGAGACCCCACATGGCTGGGTCCAAAGCGAGGACACGCGCTGGGCCCGCGATGGCCGGTGGGTTCGCCTCTTCCTGCTGGGGCTCGGGAGCCCCCCGCCCCTTCCTGCCGCCGCCGCACGCCCCCTGCGGCCTTCGACACGCCCACAGCCCGCTAGTTGGCCTCGGACCCTGGAGCCGAGGGGTAGGCAGGGGAGGGGAGAGGAAGGAGCGGGGAGGGGCCAGGGCTGCAGCCCAGGGTCTCCGCACCCGCCGACCCTCCCCCTCCCTCTCTGCCCCGCGCCCCAGCCCCCTGCACCTAACCACATATTATCCTCTCTCGGCAAAGACCCTGCACCCTGGATTCCACGCGATCCTGTGCGCCTGTCCCACAGTGGGCACTTACTGTGTACCATGCCCCGTGCCAGGCGCTTTACCCGTGGCCTCTCAGACAAATCTCATCTTACAAACTGGTAAACTGAGGCTCAGGGCGGCTAACTGACTTAGCCTAGGTAGCGAAGCCGAGAACTTTGGGGAGGAAACTACAAACCGAGAGGGAAATCTATCCAGTCAGAACCCCCTGCCAGGACGGGTGGGACGGAAAGAAGGGTGAGAGGAAACTGAGGCGGCGGCTGGGGTACGGGGTGGGGGAGGGCTGGCTCTCCAGGAATTCTTCTGAAGGACACCCAAGGGGCCCAGCTAGAGGCGGTGCTTCCCACCCCCGCACCGCGGCGCCCCGCCTCTCCTCTCTCTTCCTTTCCCCAGCCTCCTCTCCTTTGCTCACCCGGCTGCCACGTTCCGGGGTTACATAATCCGAGTAGAGGCGTCCAAGCCTATGCCCAGCGGGCTGGGGCAGGGGGTGGAGGGCGAGGCTGATGCATGTCCTGCCCTCCCCCTCCTCACTCTCCTCTGGGAGCCGGCAGCCCTGGTCTGTGTCTTCGGGACCACCTCCGACCCCGGGATTCCAGGGCGCAGGACCCTCCCCATCCCCCTCCGAGGTCCCCTTTGGCTCCCCAAACCAGGGTCGCCTCCCCAGAAGGAAGGCATTCGTCCACTGTGCGCCTCTGGCCGGGGCTTTGCCTTTGCAAGGATCCCGCCAGGGAGACACTGCCATCCCCAAGTAAGAAGAGATGCCCAGAGGTGGCCGGGAATCCTCCGGAGTGCGCGGGGCCCCTGAGCAAATGTTTTCTGCAAGGTCACTACCCATATGAACAATTTGAATTACCCTAAATCAGCGTGTCAGCACCAATCTCGTCGGATCTCTCGAAAGGAATATGCGCTCCTGGAACTGAGACCCACCCCCAGTAAGAACGATCTCATAGACTCGAGTCCCGGAGCTCCTCAAGGCATTTGGTCCACGCCATGCGCTCTGGGTAGAGAACCCCCGAAAGGGAGAAACTGGGACAGGGCCCCCGCGGGTCCTGCTCCCGCCTTAGAGCGCCCCGCCTGGACACCACTGCCGGGACCCAGTCACCAGAGGAGGATCTAGAAAAATTCAAGGAAGGCATGCCGAAGCGGAGGGTCCCTGAAGCGCCGGGCCGAGTCAGCGGCAGAAAGACGGTACTGCGGCCCCAGGCTTCGCAGAGGTGGGAGGCAGGGAGAGGCTCTGTGGAGCTAGAAGCGGGTCTGTACAAGTCCTGAGGACTACTCCACCTCCCGCCAAAACCCAGTCTGCCCACTTCACGGGCCCCACCCTCATCCAAGTTTCACAGAGTGGTGCGAGAGGGTCGGGGCAGAACCTGGCTAGGACAGGTCAGCCTCCTGAGGCTCCCACCTCCTCCAAGCCCTTCCCTACACCGCAGCCAAATTGTCCTAGTGCGCTCACCTTCCAGGCTATTCCTGAAAATGTTCTTCCCCACCCACAGCTTTCCCACCTCATCTCCCTGTGTTCTCCCCCTGGCTCATATCTCTCCAGTCCCACAGGCATTCTAGCTGTTCCTCCAATGCACCAGCCCCATCCAGCCTCAGGGCCTTTGCACTGGTTCACCAAGTTTGTATCCTATCACTCAGATGGCCTTTCAATGTTACTTACTTCCCTGACCATTCTGACAAAAGTAAACTCCAGCCTCCACACGTACTATATCCTCTCACTCTGTTTTGTTATTGATTCAAGGTACTCAACCCTCTCTGAATATATCTTGTGTTATTTATTATGTGTTCTTTGTCTGGGTCCCCACTCCCACCCAGCAGAAGGTAAGCAACCCCACAAGAGCCTTTTGCACCCAAGTGTTCACAGCTGTACCTCAGGGCCTAGAACAGTGCTTGGTCTCTAGTCAGTGCTCAAAAAGTATGTGTATAATATGTTCAAGGTTAGAGGGGACCCAGCAGGGCTGGAGGGAAGCTGGCCTCCTCAACAGTGCCAGGTTTTACAGGAGAGGAGTTGGCCAGCAATGAACTGGGAGACATGCCCCCAAAGAGACTGGTGGGACGGGGCATGCTGGCCATCTCCCACCAATCTCCCACCTCCTCACACCCCTTCTAACTTGCTCATCCCTTCTGTTCTCCCTGCTCAGCTGCTGCCTTTGGCCCTTGCCATTTGGTTGCCTAGAGCTGCAAAGGCACCAAGTCCGGAAGCAGGGTCTAGAGGTGGCGGCTTCCAGGGTGCAGGTACTTGCACAGCCAGATCTCTAGCCCTGGGAGCCAGGTGGAGGCTTTTTCGTGGCCCCCCGAGAGCAAGGCTATGTTGCAAAGCACAAATGAGCAAGACTGAGCTGGACTGGGTGGAGATACCTGCCCCAAAGGGATTTTGGCTTAAGGGATGGTCTGGGACTCTCCTGGTTGCTCCCCAGTGTGGTCAGGTGGCTGGAGGCAGAGACGATAGATGACTTTGGTGCCACACAGGCTTAATGTCACATCCTACTTCTGCTGTTCATTTTGTTTGCGTATCCTTGGGCGGTAATTTTACCTCTCCGAGCCTCAATTTTCTCATCTGTAAAATGGGAACAATAATATCTTCCTCTTTGGGTTGCTGTGAAGTGAGATAATATGTGGTTCTTGGGGGCCACTACCAGATGAATTAAAGGTAGGGAAACAGCGTAACACAGTCCTCTTGCTCCCACATACGCAGATGGAATAAAACATTATCAAGAGAAGAGAGGAGGCTATGTGTCTAGCTGTACAAATTGAGAAGTAGGCAAATCTGCTGCCTCTCTGTGCCTCCTAATCTCCTGTCCCTGGTACTCACTCCCCACTAAGTGCTCTCCCTATGATGCAGGTGAGCTTTGATGGGCACTCCTGTGGCACCTAGAAGCATCTCCCCACGTGCCCGTCTCCCCTCACCACTACCTCCCCCAGCTATCTCTCTTTTGTACATCAACGTCTTCTAGAGCCTTATTCCTCAAAGTGTGGCCGAGGACCAACAGCATCAGCAACCCCTGGGAGCTTGTTAGAAATGCAGAATCCCTGCCAAGACCTACTATATCAGAATCTGCATTTTAAAAAGATCCCCAGAGGATTCAACCCCAGGAGATTCAGGTGGGCTGAGAAGCATTAGATGGAGGTTTAGAGCAACTCCATCTAAAATGCATGAGATTCACAGCTTTCTGAGGTTGATGGTGTTTGATGCTGTTACTGGAAATTTTATCTCAAGCCGTATGAGGACATCCACGTAACATTAGGAAATTGGTATTTCATTCATCCTGGGAGGGTATATTCCTGATCTCCACCAAAGGACCCTATATTGATTTGCTTGTTTTAAATGAAATCATTTTAATCGAAATACTACAGAATATAATTTTTAAGACCTTTTAAAAAATTATTTATTTATTTTGGGTACACCAGGTCTTAGTTGAGGCATGCAGGATCTTCAGCTGCAGCATGCAGACTTCTTAGTTGTGGCATGCATGCAGGATATAGTTCCCCAACCAGGGATCGAACCTGGGTCCCCTGCATTGGGAGTGTGGAGTCTTACTCACTGGACCACCAGGGAAGTCCATGCAGAATATAATTTTAAAGGTAAATCACATATAGGCCTATAACAGAAGACTCTTCTCTATACTTCTCTATTCTCAAGTCAACCACTTTTAGTTCTGTTTGTTATTCCTTCTTGTATTTACCTTTATGCTTCTATTGCTATTTCTTGGATTTTTATGTTTAGATGTTATCTGTGGATTTCCTGCTATGGAATTAAGGATTTCGCTTTCCTACCATCCCTCCCCGCAACATACACCAAAATACACATACACATTTCCTCCTGCCATCCTCCCAAAAGAACTAAATCACTGGAGTCAATATTCAGTGCTTATATTATGACCATGTAAAGATTATTGTTCAACTGTTTTTGTTCGCTGGAGTTAGCAAGTACTTTGTTTTATCATTTGCTTGGTTTTCAAGGCACTAGTTGCTAATTCAATCCCAAAGCTTCCAACAGAACTAAACATTTTGCATATGTCTAAAAACAGCAGATAGGGACTTCCCTGGTGGCACGGTGGTTAAGAATCTGCCTGCAGGGCTTCCCTGGTGGCGCAGTGGTTGGGAGTCCGTCTGCCGATGCAGGGGACGCTGGTTCGTGCCCCGGTCCGGGAGGATCCCACGTGCCGTGGAGCGGCTGGGTCCGTGACCCATGGCTGCTGAGCCTGTGCGTCCAGAGCCTGTGCTCCGCAGCAGGAGAGGCCGCAGCAGTGAGAGGCCCGTGTACCACAAAAAAAAAAAAAAAAAAAAGAATCTGCCTGCCTATGCAGGGGACATGGGTTCGAGCCCTGTTCTAGGAGGATCCCACATGCTGCAGAGTAGCTGAGCCCGTGTGCCACAACTACTGAAGCCCGCGCGCCTAGAGCCCGTGCTCTGCAACAGGAGAAGCCACTGCAATGAGAAGCCCTCATACAGCAACGAAGACCCAATGCAGCCAAAAATAAATAAATTAGAAAACAAACAAACAAAAAAAACCCAGCAGATAATCAGTTTCATTTTCTTCTGGAGACATCCCTCCTGGAGCATCTATCTTTTGATTCCAGGCTGGGTTGCTTGCTTTCTTCACCTGGAAACATAGCTGATGTCCCAGGTCTTTCTCATCACCACTCTTCTGTGTTTAGTCTCACTTCTTTCTTAGTTTAGTTCCTTATTTTTCTGAAGCACATGCTCCAGTAGCTTCCTAAGAAAGAGTGTATGCAAGGTCAAGTTTTTGAAACCTTGTTTGGCTTAAAATGTCTTTATTCTACCCTCATACTTGATAATCGTTTAGACAGATATGTTACTAGGTTGTAAATCATTTTCCCTCAGAATTTTGTGGGCATTGCTTTATTGCTCTGGGAAGACTCAGAAAAAGGCGATCAATGGATGGTTCCAAGGGCTGGGGGCATTGGCTCTATGACTGTTGAGCTCACCACCACCAAAGATGTCAAGGTCACCAGGCTTGAATCTTTGAACAGAATCCCCTGGAGGCAGATATGCAGCCGGACCCTTGCTCTGTCTCCTCCTCTCCTAGGGCCTGTATGGTCACTGTCCCCCTACCCCTACCTCCATCAGTTTTCCTTCGAAGTATGATATGTGAACAAGGATTAAGTTCTCTCAGTTATGACCCATTTCCACTCTTGCCTCTCAAGTCACTAAACTGAGCCTCTGTAACCATTTACAGATTATTAGTGGAGATAGGTTTCTTTTCCAGGTGACCAATCCCTTCATACATGCTCATTTTCCATAATTTCATTCTTGGAGGGTGACCGTAATCTCCAATTTTGGGGTTACTATGTTGTAGCCCTCTTACAGTCATTCTCTGTGCCATTTCTGGAATGCCAGTATCCAGAACACCTCCCACAAACAACAATGCTTCAAACAGCTAAACAGCCCCTTCCTGCCCCACCCCCATTTAGTAGGTCATGTGGGGGGAGCCCTGCCCCAGAAAGCCTCTGGTTGCTTCCTGGCAGAGTCTATCTCTGCATTCCAGGACTGCAGTTCTGAAAAATCCCCCACAGGGGATTCCCCCACAGGAGCCCACAGGCCTCACCCTACTTTCAGGGGAGAGAGCTGGGGACAGACAGATCGAGTGACTTGCCCCTGGACACCCAGTCCTGGGAACCCGAGAGACAAGCAGCCCTTCATCCTGTGGTAAGCTGCCCAGGTGGTGATGGGGTTATAATGCCTTCCTGGCAACTCAAATCCCCACCGGAGGGCCCTAGGGCGGAGAATTAGCAAAGACAAGAGGATTAGTCTTAGCGCTCAAAAGTCAGACCTCCCTTTGGCTAAACTCTGCCTAAGCTACCCGCTACTTATGAGGCCAGAACCAGCATTAGCCTGCTCCTTACCCCAGGTCCCCACCTGGCAGTAGGTCACAATGCTCCAGCCGCCCAACCCACCAGAATGGCTGACTGAAGTGGGAGGGGGTGAGGAGGGTTTGGTGGGTGGGTGCGTGGGGAGGGGGAGATTTCTAAGGAGCCCAGCTCCCCACTGCCTGAGCTCACCCTTGAGTGTCTGCCAGGGCCCCACCCCCTCCCATGGTCCTCCCCCCAATACTCCTTCCCAGCCCTAGTCCTTCGTGTAACCTCCACCTCCCTCCATGACCCGCCTCTGCTTACCCAGGCCCGAAGCCCTTGCTTATCCTTTCCCAGTCCCTTCCAGGGGCGTGGGTGTGGGGAGGGATCGGGTAGCCCAGTGGGTCCATGTGTGTCCCCCTGGGGCCCTAGCCAGGCCCAGGTCCTGGACAGTGTCCTAGGGCTGGGGGCACTGGGGCTGACAGTTCGGGCAGTCTTTTCCACAGCTGGCTCAGCCTCGCTGCTGCTGCTACTGGTCAGCTTACTGGCCTTCGACCTGCTCCACCAGTAAGTGGACAGCAGCCTGGAAGGTTGGGCAGGTGAGCAAGGGGTCAACCTCCCAAAGCCCAGCTGCCACCCTTTCTCTCCACAGGCCTGCAGGTCCCACCTGGCCACAGCACACACATCTCACAGGGGGCCAGAGTCAGGGGGCCGGCGAGGGTCCAGGGCAGCAGGAGGCTCCACTCCTGCCCACAGTGGCAGCCACAGGATGACTCAGCCTCCAGGAGGCTCTGCTGCTGCTGCTCCTGGGCCTGGGGCTACTTCTGGGAGCCCGCGGCATGCCCTTGGCACTGCTTGCCCTGGCTTTCTGCCTCCATCCTTGGGCCTGAATGCCCTCCGGAAATACACTGACCGTGCTGTTTCCTCAGGCCTCCTTTCCTCCACCCTGGTCTGGGAAGGTGGGAGGATACTCCTTTATCCCCCAGCCTGCACCTACATTGGGGGACCTCTGAGGTCTCCCCACAATGTGGACAGTAGATACCTAGGTCTGAGTCCGAGGGCATCAGTAAAAAGTGAGATAAGGGACAGGGAGCCCAGTGCAGGGAATGGAGCCATCTCAGAACCTCTAGGTTAGGGGTCACTATTCTGGCCCCCACTGTGGTTCTGGAGAATGAGGGTCCAGAGAGAAAGAACTGCAAGAGAGTGGAGTGGGACTGGATATCGGCCAGCAGGGAAAGGAGGATCCAGAGAGGTCTTTCCACAAGAAAACATGAGAAACTACATCTGTGGGCTCACCAGGCTCCCTGCCAGCCTGGAGGGTCCATGAAAGAGGCTCAGGTAAGCCTCACATCCTGCAGTGTTTCCTCTCTTGGCTGGACCCCACCCTAGTCCAGGTCACAATGGGGCTTCTTTGGGAAGGGTGGGGACAGTGAGAGTGGGGGCTCCACTCTGGCTGGGCGCTGCAGGAAGAAACATGACCTAAGTGGCTCTGCCCAGAGGTAAGACCCATGCCCCAGCTCAAAGCCCCACCACACCCATGCTGGTACCCTCCTGACCCCTGCACCCTCACCCACCCTAAGGTGCCAGGCATCTCCAGGGCTGCTCCTGCAGCTGGCGTGGCTCTCTCCCCAGGTGCACCAGAGGTGATGCAGCAGCCGCGAGCGGAGACGCATGCCATCGGGGCTGGTGAGGGGCCACAGCGTGCAGTGCCCTGGTCGGCCTGGGTCACGCGGGAGGGCTGGGTGCGCTGGTGCGTGTGCCATGTGCCCCCAAGCTGGACACAGTGGTGGACCACATCAGGCTGGCGGCAACCGCTGCAGCGTGTGCTGTGGGGTCTGGAGGGGATCCTCTACCTGCTGCTGGTGCTGATGCTGTGCCACGCGCTTTTCACCACCGGCTCCCACCTGCTGAGCTCCTTGTGGCCCGTGGCAGCTGCAGCGTGGCTCCATCTGCTGCCGGCTGTCCTGCTGCTGGTGCTCAGTGCCCTCCCCGCCCTGCTTTTCACCGCCTCCTTCCTGCTGCTTTTCTCCACACTGCTGAGCCTCGTGGGCCTCCTCACCTCCATGTCTCACCCAAGCCATGCTCAGGACTTGGACCAATAGAAGGGCAACGCCATCCTGCTGCTTGTGTCTGTTGAGCCCTGGCCTAGGGCCTGAAGCCCAGGGGAGAGGGAGGGCAGTTGGGACCAGGGCCTTCCTGCCTCAGCAGGCCCCAGACCTTCAGGCCTTAGTTGGGACTGGTCAGGGCATGCATGATGTTGCTGGAACTGGCAGGGTAGACTGTCCTGACCTCTGGGCACCTCCCTCAAGCTGATGCTGCAGGTACTTGGGGTGCGGGGGCAGGGACTTTGAGAAGAGACATTAGGGCAGAAGGCTTAGCCAGGGGCAGAGCTTGACCAAGCCGTCAAGAGCTCCCACATGCATGTGGTGACACCACTGGGGCCCCCTTAGCAGCTGGCAGCATCTTTTTTTTGCAGCTGCTCAACTGTCTCAGCTTCAGACTCATAGAGAACGACTTGGGTACCTCTGTATTTGCCGTTCCCCCCACCAACCTCCTCTTTCCACTTCCCCAGGCTCTAGAAAGGGCCCACTGACAGAAACTTAGCTGGGAGAGGTCTAGCCAGAAGCCTCATGGGACCTCAGCCAACTCACCTTCCAGACCTTTCTGCCCAAGCATTCCCCACTCCCTAGACTTCCTACCTCCTGCCTCAGTCCACATCCCCACCTCTGGGAAATGGGCCAACCAGTGTAGTGAGGTTCCCAGAGAGCACTTACTCTTTAAGACTCCTGAGGTTTGCTATGGAAAAACAAACAAGAAGTCCCATTTCACCCACCTATGCAACGTGTAGCCTTGGCCAATTAGTTTCTTTGAGCTTTGGTATTAAGTGGGTCCTGTCATGGAGCTGTTGTGAGTCAAAGGCAATAATACCTATGTGTGAAGTACTTTGAAAAGACCAGAAAACTGCACGATATTGTATTGAACTCTAAAGAGCAGATAGCTTCTCCAGGCCTTCAGAGAAATGTTCTGTCATGGATACAACTGGGGCCCTACCATGGTAAACAGTGGATGGACGAATGTGAACAAAATGTAAAAGGTTGTATGCCATGAAATCTCAAAATATGCAGGTGTTGAACTCTTCTGATTGTGAAATGCTTGGGGCTGGGGCTTGGTGCCAGGAAAAGTCTTGCACAGCTATGTGAGTGGGGAAAGCACGGCCCACGGGTTTCTAAAACCAACCCAACAAGCTGCTTACAGCACCAGGAGGGCCTTGGAAGGTGGCATCCCTTGATGCCCAGGATGCTGGCTGTTCACACATCAGCTAACCCTCCAAATAAAACAGTGAGTGATCAGTTACTACAGGTAAGACATTTGATAGATAAGACCCACCACCTGACCCCCACCTCACTCCAGACCTCCACCTAATCCCTGACCCTCCCCAATCTAGTCTTGACCCCACTATATACATAACCCTAAAATCCCTGTTCCTAAATCCCTCAACCAAGAGGCCCCTCTCCTGCCAACTAAATACTCAAGCCCTGGTGACCAGCCCCTAGAACCCAGGTTCATTTTTGCTAAAACCCATTCGCTGCAGAGTTTCATAACTCTGGTCATCTGGCCACTAGTCATCAACAGCAGCTCCTGAAACCCCAGACACAGTCCTCCTTTTTTCCTTTCAGTTCTCCCTGAAATATGACCTGGTAGCAAGGGCAAAGGCAGGACATGGAGGTGGAGTAGGTTCATGGTTAGCATGGGCTCTGGTGTATTAGCTGAAGCTGGGTTTGAATCCCAGCATTGTCACTTTCTAGCTCCATGGCTTTGGTAAAAATTGCTAAGCCTTCTTGAACTTCATTTTCCTCTTGGTTAAAACAAAGGCAAGAACACCTGTCTTGGGGCCCCTGTGGGGCACTTGGTATGTGAGGCAAAGTTTCTGGACTGACTCCTCACACCACAAACTGTAGCTATGCTGTTACCATCCCATTTTAGAGATGAGAAGTCAGGCACAGGATAGCTACTTGCCAATGGCAAGGCCAGGTTGTTTGAGTCCTAGTCCAGCCTAACAGGCTACTAAAGGGAAAGCAATGGAGGAGATATAACCTAACTGAAGACCCCAGGGCTTCTCAATGCCTGTTCTTTAAGCTCCTGTCAGAGATGAAGCCAGGATGCCAATCTTGGGCCCATCATTGACTTGGCCGTGCATTGCTAGCCAGGGACATCACTCCAGAGCCTTGGGGCCACTCTGATTGAGAGAGGAGGTTTCGGCCCAGACCAGACACGCTGGGGGGCAGGATTTTGGCAGGAGCAAGGAGAAGGCCTTCTTCCCTTCCCCACATAAATATATATCTTCTACCCTCCTGTGTTGCTGGTGTGGGGTAGGGTGGCACAGCCAGACTGGAGAGCAGATAGGCAATACTTATCAAATTAGATCAACACATACCCTGTGACCCAGCAACCCAAAATGAATTCTCACAGAGGCCCATAATGGCCTTGTTCCTCAAAGTGTGGTCCCAGGGCTAGCAGTATAGGCATCACCTGTAAACTGGCTACAAATGTAGAGTCTCAGGCCTCGCCCCAGGTGTGATGAATCAGAACCTGCATTTTAACAAGACTCCCAAGGGATAACTTTGCACACTGTGAGAAGCGCTGCAGGTGAGGGGATATGTTGAGGGGATACGTCTGAGAATGATGATTGCACTCACTGGTGGTGGCAGGAAATGGAAAATGTGAAACATGGTGGATGAGCACTGTGGAGAGGAGGCAGCAGTTAGAAAGGGTGGAAGCTACATGGATTGATCTTGAAATCCTAGCGTTGAGTGAAAAGAAGCTGAATGAAAAATAATGCAATTTTTTTCACACAAACTTAAAATGCATGCCAACAAAACCAGACACTTTCTTCTTCTTCTTTTTTTTTTTTTTTTTCTTGATAAGAACAAAAAATAGAATGGAAAGGCGAACTCTAGAGCCAGCCAAATGGGATGGATGGAGTACACAGATAAAAGGAAATAAAGTGAGGGACCTTGCAGAGAGGGAAGAAAAACATAACTCCTGAAATTACTTTAAATGTAGACAAAGTCATCCATTTAGACTTAAAACGCTTAATAATGCAAGTCTGGGGAGAATGAACATGCTAGAATGAAGTTCTAAGCCCTTCCGTTTGGGCCAAGAAGGGAAAGCTGTCCCACTGGCCTCAGTGACCTGGGAGGTTGGGTGAGTTTTCTTTGCTGGCCCTACCCCATCCAACCCCGCAGCGGGCTCAGATGGGGTGGGGTTCCAGTAACGCTTGTGGCCTGGCCAGAAAAATAATCAGATCAGGCGGAGCATAAAGAACCGGAGTGGAGGAGGTGTCAGCCGCGAGGGGCCTTGCATGTGAGAAAGCAGAGAGAGGATCCACAGCGGCATACACGCACCCTGGGGGAGCGCCTAGGAGCAGGAGCGCCCGGTAGGACTTTCCTCTGCCCCAAGGACCGGGGAGCAATGAGTAGGAGCGGCCAGGATGCGGGAGGGTCAGAGAGGGCGGTGTCAAGGGGGATCATAAGGCTGGGGGCTCCACTTGAGCTAGAGTTGTCAGTGGCCACCCTAGAGGGAAGAAGAGGGGTCTCTGGAAGCAGGCGGTGCGGTGCCCAGGGAACCGCTCAGGACCAGCTACGGGGAGCCGGGAGGGGACGCTCTCACCCAGACGCTTCTGTGCCGGGGAAAGGGGGCGGCCCCGCCCCCGCTAGCGGGTGAGGGGAGCAGCACTGCTCGCCGAGAGTCCGTGGTCACAGAGAAGGAGGGGGCCGACTGGATCCTTGGGGGAGGAGGAGGAGGAGAAGACCTGCGCTGCGCGGGGAGGTTGCCCCAGGAGCGACCTCTAGGCTCAGGTGCGCGGGAGAGGGGTCAGGGCGACGGCTGGAGAGCGCCGAGCTCGCGCGTTGACCGTGGAGGCACAGCTGGGTGGGCATGGGCCTTATGTTGGGAAGGAAATCCCTAGCCTTGCCAGGGATCAGAGGGCTGTGGGCACCCACATAGGGTAAGTGCTAGCCACCCCCGTAAATCAACACCTCCCCCCACCTCCACTCCACCCCCGGAATCGCAGCCCCTTGACTCGGTGCATGGCTTGCTCCCCTAGCGGAGACCTCCAGCTCTGGCTACGAAGAGTCGGGCTTGGCTGGGTGTGGGAAGGAAATGAGGAGGGGGAGAGGTATCTCCCGGGCCGGGCCGGCAGTAGCGGAGAGGGTAGATCTTGGGGCCAGGAAGGAGCATCTCCGGCCCACTGGCGGCTTCATTGACTCCTCAAAATCTCCTTAACCCAAAACTCTAGCCTGAGTTCCCCAGCCTGAAACCCAGAGGCATCGAGGGCAGAGCTCATGAGAATCCAGGAGAAGGAAGGGCCCAATCTAGCTGGCTTCACTGTCTCCGACTGCTGTCCCAACCCTAGTCTATTATTCCATCCTTCCGGGGGTAAAGACCTGTCTTTTGTAAGGTTCTGTCAGGATCTGGATGCAACCAACTTTGGACAAGTTATTTTCTGCTGAGCAAACATTTCTATTACCTTTCAAATATTTTCCATCTTCAAAATAAAAGAACTTAGGAGCTGTAGCTTTTATCATATTTTCTGGCCTGTGTCTTCAAATGTCTAAAACCAAAAAAGTTTTTAAAATTGATATGTGATACTGTATACTTGCAAAATATTTGTAACATACATGTAAGTTGTGAAGCCCTCTAAACCCAAGGATACCACACCCATCTAAAAGCCAGACGTTATGAGAATAGGTCCTCTTCCTTTGTGTTCATCTTCTGCCTATACAAGCTGGAATTCCCAGACAATGGTATATGGAATTGCTGTTCACAGGTAACTTTGACTTGATCCTGATTTTAAAAGAACTGCTTTTAAGTTTCCACCATTAAGAATTACTGTGGAGTTTTGATAGTTAACTTTTATCCAGTCAAGGAAATTCCTTTCTACTCCTAGTTTGCTAGTAGCAGTTTTGATCATGAGTGGATGTTGAATGTTAAAAAAATTTTTTTTTTCTTCATCTACTAAAAGGACTACTTATTCTGCTTTATGCTATTTATATGGTGAATTAAATTTTTAGGTGTCTTTTTAATGTTAAACCACTCCTGGATATCCTGATTCTTTTTTTTTTTTTTTTGGCCAAACTGCACGACTTGTGGGATCTCAGCTCCTGACCAGGGATTGAACCAGGCCATGGCAGTGAATCCTAACCAGTAGGCCACCAGGGAACTCCACTGGTTCCCTTTTAATTGACATATAATACATACATTTTACATATGAATAAAATGCACAAATATCGAGGGTATGGCTCAATTAAAAAAAATTTTTTGCCCTCACTGCACAGCATGCAGGCTGACCTGGGATTGAACTCATACCCCTGCATTGGAAGGGCAGAGTCTTAATCACTGGACTGCCAGGGAGGTCTCTGGCTCAATAAACTTTAACATATTTGTGTGTCTTTGTGTGGCCAGGTAACTACCAGCCAGATAGAACTTTTCCATCACCCCAGGTAGTTCCATCATGCCCTTTCCCAATCAATACCTCCCCCAAAAGGTAACCACAATTCTGATTTCTATCACCATAGATTAGCCTATTCTTGAAATCATGCAGAATAAAATCATATAAAATGTATTCTAGTTTCTGGCTTCTTTCAACATTATATCTGTGAGATTTATCCATGTCGTTGCATCTATCAGCATTTGTTTTCCTTTATTACTATCCCATTGTATGGGACGAATATCCACTCTTTTTTAAAAAAATTATTTGTTTTTGGCTGCATTGGGTCCTCGTTGCTGTGCGCGGGCTTTCTCTAGTTGCGGCGAGCAGGGGCTACTCTTCATTGCAGGCTTCTCATTGCGGTGGCTTCCCCCCGGCTGCGGAGCTCAGGCTCAAGGCACGCGGGCTTCACCAGCTGTGGCACACAGGCTCTGCAGTTGTGGCTCACAGGCTCCAGAGCGCAGGCTCAGCAGCTGTGGCACATGGGCCTAGTTGCTCCGTGGCATGTGGGATCCTCCCAGACCAGGGCTCAAACCAGTGTCCCCTGCATTGGCAGGCAGATTCCTAACCACTACGCCACCAGGGACGCCCCCACTCTCCTGTTGATGGACATTTGGCTTGTTTCCAAGTTTTGGCTACTATGAAAAAAACTTCTATGAATATTCTTGCACAGGTCTTTTGGTAAATCTGTCTAGATGTACTCATTTCTCTTGAAGTGAAATTGCTGAATCACAGAGTACATAAATGTTCAACTTTAGTAAATGCTGCCCAAGAATTTCCAAACTGATTTGTACCAAGCAGTGGTTCCACTGCGTTTTTCAGCCTATCCACCTAATTCACTGTTTGGAGTTTCTGCTCCTTCCTGGTCATCAGATATGGTATTTACATTTGTTTCTCATTTTCACTTTCGCTTGGGTGATTTCTGAGAGGAGGAGGGTTCTAATCAGTCTCCCACATGGGCTCGGGAGCTTTTTGTTTAGTTCCAACCACTTAATGAGTGTCTACCATGTGCCAAGAAATTGTGCAAGGTATGTATCTTGTACCTCCAGGAGCAGATGAGTGTTGAACATACACATGAATGTGTGAGACTGGTATAGGTGAGATCTAGCCAGATTCCAAACTGCATATAAAATATTGACAATTTCAACTCAGCCCTTGATATTTCCCAATCCCAAAGAGCTGCTGACAACAAAGAACCCCTCCAGGGTCTTTGTTAAGTACACGTGTGTTCTGGTGAGGGTGTAAACAAGGTGTGTGAGACAGTAGGAAGGATGCATTCAATGATTTCTAAACAGCGTGGGTTAAAAGGTCCAAGGTCGCAGAGAGCCCAGAGGCAGCCTCCCCAACTTTTAAGATCATGGCTGGGAGACCTACTCCCTTACACAAAAAGATGCTACTCTGTTCTTCCATGCCTTTATTGGTGACAGCAATGGACAACAACAATGCCAGGCATAGCAAGATACCCTGGCCCAGCACCTGGGGTGGGAAGCAGGCACTGCAGGGCCACTGGCACATTCAGCTCCAGCATAAGATCCACTCTACCCAGGCCACGTCCCCGAATGGGGAGGAGGCCATTTGTCCAGTTTGTATGTATGGATCAGCCTGTCTGAGTGTCTGGGACGCTGCCTGCAGGGTGCCCCTGTCCTTGGCACGTGGTAGGGGCTGGTGTGAATACAGCGTGGCATCCCCCGGTGGACGGCCAGGCCCCGGTGCTGACCATGGGGGATAGGGCTGGAGACTGGAGGAGGCAGGGGGCCAGGCACAAAGTTCACTGCGGGGCTACATCCTACAAAAGAACCAGCCATTATCAGAATGGGCTTCTGGCCAGGGTGAGCCCAGCTCTGCCTTCAGGCAGTTCTGGTCCTCCAGGGTGAGTTTCTCTGGGCTTCAATTTCCCCATTTGCAAAATGGCAATACTACTTCCCCTACTTCCAAGTCAGGAAATTGTGACAATCAATGAGCTAATTAATGAGTCTACGGATGCTGCTCCAGACTCAGCTGTGACTGAACCCAAGCCTGGGGGGCACAAGGGCTACCCAACTCCTCTCAGCCCACCTGGACACAGGAGGCTAGGATGGGGGAGGTTCAAGGGGATGCTGGGAAAGGTGTGCTGGGAGGTTGTAGAGGCACCTACCTAAGTGGGGTGGCATCGAGCAGTCTTCTGTTGGATTAAAGTTGAAGAATTCATGGGGTGGGAAGGGCTGGCCTGGGAAAAAAGGGGGATCCTGGGGCAGGAGTGGAAACAGAGGAGGTGGGGAGGGCTGAGGAAGAGGGTAGGGAAAATGCATGGGAAGGGGTAAAGGAGAGGGTGGGGGCAAGGCCAGCTGCTCCCTGAAGGCTGGGGTCTGCCCCTGGCTCCCCTGGAAGAGATGATCCGGCTCTGGCCAGTCCTCAATCCATGGGTCTAGGAATGGGATGGTTGTTTTAGGTAGGCCTGGGGAGCCAGGCCGCCCTGAACTGTGGCTGTCCACACTTCTAAACCTCTACTCCCTCCTCTTGGAGAACACAGCACCCTCTACTTCCTACACAGGTTTCCTCATCCCCTCTCATTTCAGGCCAAGCCCAAGCTGCACTCTTTCTTTCCTGCCTGTCTCAATAGTCAGTGGATTTGCCTTTGTTCTGACCTCATGCTCCCCTCCAGTCTCCTCCCTCTGTTGCCCAGCTCCTGTATCTTTAGCTTTTTCCTCTCCCAGCTCCTTGCCACAGACCAATAAATAAGCTTAGTAAACCTTCTCTCTTAAAAACAAAGATCCTGTCACTTCCTTCTCCCAGTAGGCCCTTGTTCCTTTCATATTTCCTCCCACAAAGAGTATTTTGCCCAGGTGCCATTCTCTCCATCAACTGCTCACTACCTCTTTTAACCCTACTCCACTCCTTCAACACTTATCCTATGAAATGTAACCACTTCCTCGCTTCCTGACAAGTCACGTGGCCAAGAGCCTCTGTCCTCCCTGAAAGTGACTCTACCCTTGTCTCCTTTTGTTTCCTCCATCAGCCCCTCTTCCCTTCCAACTCCAAAACATGGCTATTGTTTTGCTCTTTCCGTCTGTTCACATTCATGCCCTCAGCTGCCATCTCCCTGCTGGGCATCACTGACTCGAAATCTACTCAACATCTTCACAGTACCTCAAAGAGATCTGCCCTAACCAAACTCACCAACTCATCCTCCCACCCAACTCTTCCCTTTGATGTTCCTATTTCTGTGGCTCCAAACTGGATTCAGAAGACCTGAGCCACGATAAACTAGCCTTACAACCTTTAGAGCAACCCTTCATTTGTTGGGGATCAGTTCTCCAACTGATTTAGGTGAGATTTAGTTCTCACCTAAAAAAACAAAGAAATTGGACTATTATATAATCAAGATCCTAATTCACTTCCCTGATGCTCCAACTCCAGGCTAAAAGTGACATTCTTGACCTCTCTATGCCCTCACATCCCTTAATGCTACTACAGCCTTCTAACATGACTCGTGTCTCCAATTCAATAAACACTATCCTGTAGGTAGTATGTACACAGCAATTGTCCTAGACAAGTGGCTTAAAGGGATGAGTTGTCAACAAGTGAGGCAGGAACCTTAGCCTTGGAGGACACGATCCAGGGCAGAAGCAGACATGGAACAATCACCCACGATGTTCCCTTTATAAGCAGGCAGGAACTGAGGGGGTGACAGCACCAGCCAAGGGGCTTCGTTGTTTCTGCCACACTGTCTGGATTACCTTTCCTCTGTTTCTGCCTTTCCACCCCCCACATCTACTCCTGTCTAAAAGTATTCCCATTCCTTTTCCGTTTATCTGTAGCATAAGGGTCTCTGACATGCTGCCTTATGTGCTCAATGCTCACTCACATACACATAGGTGACCACACGGCTAGACCATACAGAAACCCAGGGGAAGGAAGGAGCACTCAGGATCCACAACGGTCCTTCAAGGGGCCTCTACTCCCCTTGAGGATCTCTGTCCTGTTGTTTATGAGCCCTATGCTTTGAGGGCCCTCTTTGCATCACTACCGTCCCCACTTGTGGTAGGGCTCACCATGGGGATAGTCACGCTTTGGCAGCTCCACACCCCAGGCATCAGCCACGTGGGTCAGAAGCAAGTGTGAGAGGTGGCGGTGGGCATGCTGGTCCCAGTGGACACCGTCCCGGTGATGGTGCTGTACTGCATGCCGGAAATGAAAGTGGAGATCCAAGACATCGAAGCAGTGGTCCCCAGCCAGTGTAGCGCTGTAGAAGTTCCCTTCAACCACATCCCGCCGCAGAGAGCCTGCCAGGGGCTGGAGCTGAGTGATAAAGTGCAGCATCTAAGAGCCACAGAATGAAGCAGGTTTGGAAGGGAGGGTCCTCTATCTACCAGTCAGCTGCCCCGTCCTCTATCCTAAGGGGCTCTGGTCACTTGCCTCAGGCAGAAGGAAACCCCCAGTGACACGCTCTCCTAGGGGCATTGCCATGTTCCACACCAGCAGGCAGGAGTCTGGCAACACCTGGTCCATGCGCATGAACACCCGCTCCAGGTTCTCTCGGTAGCTCTCCATCGAGCAGCGGCCATACCTGTTGGGTAGCACAAAGGGTGGGCAAGAGCACAGGGGTGGGTGGCCTCTGAGCCATACCTCCACCCCTGGTTTCCCTCTCCCCCCGCCCCAACCTGGAGAGATCCCAGAGGCAGGAGTTGATGATCACCAGGTCCGGGGCAGGCCCATATGTCAGCTCCTCCAGGATTCCCTCGAGGTACTCGGAGTAAACGCGGGTGAGGAAGTAGAAGCGTACAAGGTGGTGGCCAGAACCCGAGCAGAACTGGCGGACCTCTCGGTACTGTGTCCCGTTGTGCAGCTCACCCAGCTGACCCCCAGCCATCAGCTGGTCCTGTTCAAAGCTCAGCTCCCCCTGCCCACCCCCCGACCCAGCTGGTCAGACCCATGCCAGGGAGGAGGACCCTACCAGGCCAGAGTCTGTGCCCACCCACCACTGGCATGGCCACCAAGCTTCCCTCACCTTGGCTTTCAGCTGGGCGGCTGTGAGCAGTGAGTCTTTCTGGAGCAGAAGCACCAGGTCTTTGTACACAGCCCGCTGGACTGCAGGGAGACAGAGATCCTGCGGCTGAGGCAGGCTGCACTCCACCCCAGCTCCTTCCAAATCCAGGCCTCCCATCTTCCCAGGGCTGGGGCTGCCCAACACCACCTTTGTGGAGTGTTGACTTAGAGACAGAAGAGAAGGTGAGGTTACAAAGTCCTGGCACTACCTCTGTTCCTTCTAGCTGTACATCACTTCTCAACTCAGTATATAGTGACCCAAGATCACCTGGCAGAAATAAGTTAGCCAAGTCACCCAAGAGACAGACAGCACAATCCACTGCTTCCATGAGGGACATTGTGGGGGACTGTCAGGAAGAAAAATGTTGAGCAAGGATGGGGTGAAAAGCTTGACAGGCTACATCTGTCAGGACACCTGTGTAAGGCGTTAGGGAAATAAAAAGAGAAAACCTACTGGACTGTTCCAGACTAGGTATCAGGAAGGAGATTTGAGATGGAGGCAGAGGGTTCAGATGCAGAAAACAGGCTGCAGGTGTGGGACCGGGAAGTGTGATTCTAGAAGGGCACTCACTTGAGTCCCCCAAGATAACCACGAACTTGTTGTGTAGCAGCTGCTGGACTTCAGAGGCCTGGAATTGGACCATGGTGCTTCCCAGCGGGCGGCGCGCTTCCTTGTTCTCCAGACAGAAGACCATGCCGCCGCCAACAACGACGGGCTGCAGGGTGGAGACTCAGGACAGGTTGGCTCCAGGGCCCACACGGAGTAAACGAGACCAGCGGCGGCCCCTTCAGGGCTGCTCTGGACTACAGGGACCAGGTGGCGTTAGCAGAGTGGGGCCCATGGTGGCGCCGGTCTCCATTACACTTGGCACATGAAGCAGGAGGTCGCCAGGCCCGCAGGGCTCCAGGACACCGAGGCGCTTCCCGCGCGGTGCAGCCCTGCGCCCCGCCACGTGCCCGCCGCCGCCCCGCGCATGCGCGCGCTCGCTCGCGCCAATTACCGAGTCCCGGGGCGCCGCGCCGTTCACCCGCGACCCGGGCAGGCCCGCACATCGCGCGCCACTCCCGCAGCGGGGTCCGGGCCTGGCCTCATGTTCCCGCGCCCGAAGAGGCCGGTCGCTTCAGCACAGCCTCTGCCCAGCAGAGCCCGTGCGTCCCGGTTAGCGGTCGGTCCGCAGCCCGACGCCCAGCACTCTCCATGCGTGAGTCGCGGAGGCCCGACAGCGCCTGGGCCCTCCCCGCCCCGGGCTGCGACACTCACAACTCCCACTTCCGGTCACCCATGTCCTGCTCTGCCCGACCCCCCAACGCCCGAGGGGACAGGAAGGCAGCAGGGGTGGCCGCCGTGGGGAGTAGGAGCCAGGGCCGGGCCCACCCGGGCGTGGGAGGGGCGCGGCGGCGGCCAAGTGCAGCCGCCCACAGCGGTGACGGCCGTGGCCGCGGCCTCGCCACGTGACCCGAACGGGCGGAAGCGGAAGTGCCTGCCTGGAGCCCGCGCTAGGTGCGTGTCCCCTCGGCGCTGGCTGGCTGCCACCTGCACCAGCTATGGACTGCTACACCGCGAACTGGAACCCGCTTGGGGACTCTGCCTTTTACCGGTGAGCCGCCCCGCCCTGCCTCCCACGGTCTGGCTTATCCCGCTCGCCCGCCGGCTTGAGTCTCTGAGCGAAGCCGGACGCGCGCGTCGCGGTCTCTACGGCGCTGGGGTCCGCCCCTCGCCGGCTCTCCCGCGGCGTCTACCACTTAACACACAGCCACCTAGGGCCGGGCCTTCCCCTTCTCCGGAGAAGGAAACTGAGGCAACCGTAGTGGTCACACAGGTAGCGGCACAGCCCAACTGAAGCCCAGGGCTGTCAGCCTCTGGAAGGATGCTCAGATCACGTTGAGGGTGGCCGCCCACGGGTGACAGTGAGTGATCGGTCTCCTGCCGGGAAGTGCTGCTGAAGTCAGACCAGGGGTGCTCCTACGGGGGCCTGCTTGCACGGCGGGCGGGGTAACAGTGCTGACCAAGGCCGGGAGAAGGAGGCGAATCGCCACTAAATCCAGAGGCAGCACGAGTGAGGACCCCCTGCTAGGGGCAGCCCTCTCATGGGAGTCGTGGAGTCCTAAACCACTAATCTTTCTAAAGTGTAGACTGATCACATCATTACCCTAATTAGGATTTTTTCCAATGACTTCTCTTCTTTGAAAAACAAAGTACAAACTCCTCGTGTTATATCTATAAACCGGCCTTATTTGTCTTTTCAATTTCGACTTCAATTTCTTCAACTCCTACCCAAATCTGTGTTCCAGTTGCACAGAACAGGATCCCAACACATCATGACGTTTCAGGGCTCCCTGTGTTCACACCAGCCTAAAGTTCCTTCTGTGAGCACTGCCATTTCCCTCTTTACTTCACTGGAGAATTCTTACTCATCCTTCAGGACTTAGTTTAAGGGTTCATTCTGAAACCTTCCCTGATTTAAGCCCAACAGACTTGACTTTCAGCTGACTTTCCTTTGGGTCTCACAAGACCCAGTGCTAAGGTCTGTTATGTATGGCACAGTAGGGCAATGTTTGTATAGGTTTCTTCTGCTAAACCAAATTCCTTGAGGGCTGAGAGCATTTCTTGCATCTCTTTATCTCCAGTGCATATTTAGAACAGTGCCTGCTATGTAGTGGTTGCCTAATAAAATTTAAAAAAATACTTTATTGATTGCAACTAAAGATCACAAAGGCATCTCGTTGGGGTCTTATTTCAATAGAAGACAACTGTTAATGCTAGTGAAACTATATACCATTGTTATTCACATGTTAAAACTTTTCACTGTAATCTTTAATACACAAAATGTCAGCCCTTAACACTTCTGAGGTGGACAAATGCCTTGATGCAATTTTTAGAGATCTGTTGCATTTGTTGTTTATTTCTGATTCTTATAAATGTGCCTGTACAATGTGAAAAAAGTTGCAAAAATTTAGTTAAAAATCAGGGAAGTCAGTAGGAAATAACAGTGATTTAAACTTTTTGTGGAGAAGGGTTGTCAGTTGACATAGGTAGCGTGTAATTTGGTGTTTACGACACAGCATATACTTTTAAAAATATTAACTTGGGGCTTCCCTGGTGGCGCAGTGGTTAAGAATCTGCCTGCCAATGCAGGGGACACGGGTTCGAGCCCTGGTCCGGGAAGATCCCACATGCCACAGAGCAACTATGCCCGTGTGCCTGCAGCCCGTGCTCTGCAGTGGGAGAGGTCACTGCAATGAGAGGCCTGCGCACCTCAGTGAGGAGTGGCACCCGCTCACTGCAACTAGAGAAAAGCCCGCGAACAGCAATGAAGACCCAACGCGGCAATCAATCAATAAAAAATTAATATGTATTACTTTTGAAAATATATGTTGCCTACACAGGCTTATTAAATAGAGTACTGAAAATGGTGACCTCATTGCCATAGAACTCCTGGTTATCATATGAAGTCTTAGCTTTGTTTATACACCAATAAAATTTTACTATCTTTTTTTTTTTTTTTTTTGCTGTATTGGGTCTTCATTGCTGTGCGGGGACTTTCTCTAGTTGCGGCGAGCAGGGGCTACTTTCATTGCAGTGCGTGGGCTTCTCACTGCAGTGGCTTCTCTTGCTGTGGAGCACAGGCTCTAGGCGCGTGGGCTTCAGTAGTTGTTGGCTCGTGGGCTCTAGAGTGCAGGCTCAGTAGTTGTGGCACACGGGCTTAGTTGCTCCGCGGCATGTGGGATATTCCCGGACCAGGGCTCGAACCCGTGTCTCCTGCATTGGCAGGCAGATTCTTAACCACTGGGCCACCAGGGAAGTCCCTCAATAAAGTTTTAAATGAGTGTAAATGTTGAGTACATGCTATAGACATGATCTGCATGGCTAGCCTACCCTTACCTGTACTGTACCGCCAGAAGGGAGTAGAGGTATAAGCCTTGCTGCAGACGATGTGTTGCTCTTGGTAATGGGTGTTGAGCCTTTCTATGTACTAGACACCATGCTAAGTACTTTATGTGTATTAAATTGTCTAAGTCTCACAGCCCCATGAGGTAGGTATCATTATTTTAACCCCATCTTACTGATGAGGAAACCAAGGCACAGAGAAGTTAGGTGACCAGGTTACACAGATAGTGGAGCCAGGATTTGAGCTCGGTCTTCTAGAACCTGTGTTAAAGCATAGGGTTTTTGTTTTTAAGTAGGAAAATAAAATAAGTAGAAAATATTTTAGGTGCAGATACTAGGTTTATTTGTATTTGTGCATAACCTTATGCCAAGACTTAATACATGTTCAAATAAGTGAATGAATGATAAACAGGGTGGCGGACATTTCAAGTCCTATCTACAGGATGGGATTCTTTTGCATTGGAAGTAATGTTCTGGAAAAATCACTAATTTGGGAGGGCGAGGAGAGGTAATGGTGATTAGTTCTTATCAGGCTCCAGAATTTTAACCATTTTTATTCTAAAAACCCAGTTTGAGATAATACCATTAAATAATTTTGCCCAACCCTTTGCCACACTGAATGTATATTGGGCCAATAAAAAGACATGGACCCTTTCTGCCCTCAGAACTTATAGCCAGCAGGGAGACAGTTGATAACCACTAATGACTCTGTATTTGTTTGATCATAAGCAGTGAGGTAAAGGAGAGTGTAGGGTCCTCAGAAAGCATATAACAGATTGGTAAGTCAGAGGAAAAGAAGACTTTCTGAAGGAAACAATACCCCATCCAGGAGATGAGTAGACCTAGGTGCAGGGAATGGGATCCAAGAAGAGCATATACAAAGGTCCTGAAGCGAGAGAGACAGGGACACTCTCAGTGACCTAAATAGAGAGAGCCAGTGTGGCTGGAGTGCCACAGACAAGGAGACAGGGTAAGAGACCACTTTATCTGAAGACCAGTGAGAAGCCTAAGTGAAAGGATTGATGTGATTGGATTTGCAGGATGTGTGTGTGTGTATGTGTGTGTGTGTGTGTGTGTGTGTGTGTGTGTTTTAAGTTCCTCCTGGAGGCAATGGGGGGACAAGTTGGAAGGGGCAAGCAAGAATGGAGACTGGTTAGGAGGCTGGTGGAATAGACCAAGGAGAAGTTGATGGTGGTGAGCACTGGAGATGGAGAGAAGGGGACCAATAGGAGAGATATTAAGGGGTTAAAATTGAAGGACATTGTGATGAGTTGCATTTAGTAGGGAGGAGGAAGAGCAACAAATCGAGGATGACTTGGATTTTTGGCTTAACATAATGAGAAAGGAAGAGTGAGTTTGGTGGGGAAAAGGGTGAGCTTGGTGTTGAACACAGTGTTTCAGGTACTTTATTTTTTAATAAATTTATTTTTATTCATTTATGTATTTATTTATTTTTATTCTTGGTTGCATTGGGTGTCTGTTGCTGCACACGGGCCCTCTTTAGCTGTGGCGAGTGGGGGCCACTCTTCGCTGCAGTGTGCGGGCTTCCCATTGCCGTGGCTTCTCTTGCTGCAGAGCACTGGCTCTAGGCGTGGGGGCTTCAGTAGTTGTGGCTTGTGGGCTCCAGAGCGCAGGCTCAGCAGCTACAGTGCACGAGCTTAGTTGCTCCGCGGCATGTGGGATCCTCCCAGACTGGGGCTCGAACCCGTGTCCCCTGCATCGGCAGGCAGACTCCCAACCACTGCGCCACCAGGGAAGGCCTTAGAAACATCCTTTATGGTGAAGGAGACCGAAGATACATTTCGTACTTGTGGAACTCTTCGTAGAAGAGAGGTTGACTGTTTTAGTTGGTTTTATGGCTTTGTACGTTTGTCTGTTTTGCACGTATAAACGTGAACATTAAAAAAAACTGTGGTTAAATACACATAATATAAAATTTACTATCTTATTCATTATAAAGTACAATTCAGGAGTGTTAAGTATATTCACATTGTGCAGTCAATCTCCAGAACTTTTTCATCTTGCAAAATTGAATCTCTAGGGCTTTCCTGGTGGCGCAGTGGTTGAGAGTCCGCCTGCCGATGCAGGGGACACGGGTTTGTGCCCCGGTCCGGGAAGATCCCACATGCCGCGGAGCGACTAGGCCCGTGAGCCATGGCCGCTGAGCCTGCGCGTCCGGAGCCTGTGCTCCGCAACGGGAGAGGCCACAACAGTGAGAAGCCCGCGTACCGCAAAAAAAAAAAAAAAAAATTTGAATCTCTATACCCATTAAATGATAACTCCTCATTCTCCCATTCCCCCAGCCCTGGCAACTACCATTCTACTTTCTGTCTCTATGAATTTGACTACTCTAGATAGCTCATACAAGTGAAATCATACACTATTTGCTTTCTTGTGGCTGGCTTATTTCATTTACCATACTGTCCTCAAGGTTCATCCATGTTGTAGAATGTATCAGAATTACCTTCCTTTTTAAGGCTGAATAATATTCTTTT